TCTGCTCGCTCCTCTGAGTTGCCAACTGACTTCACTGGCCCAGTCAGGCACCGGTATCTCCATAAAAGCCTCCCCATGCGAGCTCCCTGCAGCAACGCTGGGCTCTCTCCCTGCGTCCCCCAAGAGCACCCCCAGACCCAAGTAGCCCAGAATCTGAAGGAAAGTAGGTGCTATCTTCCCAAGTGCCAAGAGTAATGAGTCTGATTTTTAACCGGAAGCCTCAAGAAGCGAGCACCCCCACCAATGCCATTCCTTCCCCGGGCCGGAGGTTAGGCACTCTCCCTTTCCCCAGGGACCGCCGAGCTCACCCCAGAGCGCAGCCTCCGCGGACCCCAGGATCGCCCGGCGCGCACACCCGAACAGCCGCAGCGGCAGCACCATCGCCCACTCGCGCCCACCGGGCCGCTGACTTCCTCCTCCGGCTCCTCCTTCTTGTTCTCCGCCGCCCCGCCACCCGCGCCGGGCTCTTGAGCGCCCCCCGGCCGGCCGCCGGCCGAAGCGGGGAGTGCTACAAGGAGTGATAGCTGAGGGAACCGTGCTCAGGTCAGGATCCCGGGCTCCCCGCTCAGCGGGAAGCCTGCTTCTCCTTCTTCCTCTCCCTGCCTACCCCCCTGCTTGTGAGCGCTCGCTCTCTCTGTCAAACAAAAACAAACAAACAAACAAACAAATAAATAATTAAATAAAATAAAATCTTGAACAAAGACACTGCGAGTTGAGCTTGCTTTTTGTTTTGGATTATTATTTTTTAAGGAGAGACAAAGCTTAAAAGTGGAAAGTAGAAAATATACCAAAGATGAAATTTAAAGATTTTTTTAAAAAAGATTTTGTTGGTTTATTTTTGAGAGGGGAAAAATTGAGCGGGGTGGGGGGCGGCGGTAGGGGCAGTGGAAGAAGCAGGCTCCCCATGGAGCAGGGAGCCCCAGGCGCTGCTCCATCCCAGGACACTGGGATCACTACCTGAGCGGAAGGCAGACGCTTAACCGGACAGAGCCACCCAGGTGCCGAAATTTAAATATTTAAAGTAAATAAATTTTTCCAACTTACTTTATAACAGGATTCTTGTAGGTTAATTTAAAGCAAACTACACAGACGCTTTTCTAAGAACTGCTCTTAACTCCAATAGCTGGTACAACTAATGTCAGTATTAAAATAATCTCATGCTGTCATCTTTCCCCCACAACTTTGATATTTGACTATAACTGACCATAGCTTGTCAGAGTTAGGCCCAACTATTTTATAAAATGTGTTAGTTTGCAACTGCTACTGTAACAAATTACCACAAATTTACTGGCTTGGAGCAATATAAATTTATTATGTACAGTTCTGTAGGCGTCAGCAAGCCTGTGCTCCTTCTGAAGGCTCTAGGGCAGAATTTCTTTTTTTGCCTTTTTCATCTACAGAAGCTGCTGGCATTCCTTGGCTAGTGGTCCCCTTGCCCATCTTCAAAGCCAGCAGTTTAGCATCTTCAAATCTCTAACTCTGACTTCTGCTTCTGTTGTCGCATCCCTTGCTCTTCCTCTGACCCTCTGCTTCCCTTTTAGAAAGACCTTAGTGATGGGTGCCTGGGTGGCTCAGTCGTTAAGCGTCTGCCTTCGGCTCAGGTCATGATCCCAGGGTCCTGGGATCAAATCCCACATCGGGCTCCCTGCTCCGTGGGAAGCCTGCTTCTCCCACTCCCCCTGCCTGTGTTCCCTCTCTCACTGTGTCTCTCTTTGTCAAATAAAAATCTTAAAAAAAAAAGTGCTTTAGACTAGACATCACAATTGTTGATTTAAAAAAGTTATTTATCTATTCTTTTGTTTAAATGAATTACTGTTTTCAGTAGTTCTGTGGGGATTAAAAAAAAAAAAAGACCTTAGTGATAACTTGGGCTACTTGGATGATCCAGGATAATTTCCCTCGCTCAAGATCCGTAATTTAATCATATTTGCAAAGTCCTTTTGCCATGTAATTAATGTAACATGATTACAGTTCCAGGATTAGAACACCTTTGCGGGCGGGTCGTGTTATTCAGCTTACCACATAAAGTTTATTATTACTGTGGTTCATTTCCTTATTTTAAATGTATTCTCAATTTGGTCCCCCAATATAATGAAAGCTATATTTAACTGCAAATTAATTTATAATGGAAAATTTAAAAATTAATTTTTTAAAGATTTTATTTATTTATTCATGAAAGGCAGAGAGAGAGAGAGAGAGAAGCAGAGGGAGAAGCAGGCTCCCAAGGAGCAGGGAGCCCAACGTGGGACTCGATCCCAGGACCCTGGGATCATGACCTGAGCCGAAGGCAGACGCTTAACCATCTGAGCCACCCAGGCGCCCTAAAAATTAATTTCTAAATGGTATTATTAAAGTGTGTGTCCAAGGAATAATTTAATTAAGCAGTTTAAAATTATTCAGTTTTCAAGAATTTATTCTATATTTTTAAAAGATTTTATTTATTTGACAGAGAGCACAAGCAGGGGGAGCTGCAGGCAGAGGGAGAGGGGGAAGCAGGGTCCCTGCTGAGCAGGGAGCCTGATGTGGGGCTTGATCCCAGGACCCTGGGATCATGACCTGAGCTGAAGGCAAGTGCTTAACCGACTGAGCCACCCAGGCGCCATTAGTTTTCAGTAATTTAATAATTAATAGCACCACTTCAAATTTCTATGCCAGTGCCATCACTTACAATTCTGTTTTTCCAAAATATTTGGAATTTTAGCTATAGTTTCTATATGATCTATTTTGTGGATTAACTTTGAATTAAAATGTCATTATATGTTGTAAATTCACGTACTCCCCATGGCATTCCCAAGCTGTCCTGAATACATCAAAACCATAGGTAGCATGAACACAGGTATGGAAACAGTGAAACAATGTGCTTAGCCTCAATAAATCACATTCAATTTGATTTATGCTTTTGCAAGAGCACAGATTATGAAACAATTCTTTTTCCAATGTTCGTGACTAAGTATTTGAGAAATATTTTTCTGCAGGATTTTTTATCTCAAAAGATGAATAGCTCCTCCCATAACTAGCACAGTGCCAGACTTGGTTTATTAGCAAAAAGTCTTGTCAAAAGAGAGTCTTGATTATTGTTCCTTGGACAAGCGTCCAAGTTCTTCTTTCAAAGAGACTCAGGAAGTCTTAAAGTGGGATGAAAGGGAGAAAATAGTTAACTCTTCTGGGAAAGGTCTACTAATGCTGAGTTGATATGAATCATTAATTCTCAAACAACTCATTTTATTTCTTGGCATAATGCAAGTGAAAGGCAACTGGAAAGGAGGAGAATTTCCCCATTTCTTTCTAAGTTCACATCAAGCCTCCATGTATTTGACAAATCAAATGAAAAATTAGGAAATGTATTGTTTTCCATGCAGCTTTTTTTTTTTTTGAAAGAGTTTCTCTCAAAACTTAAAATGAGTATCTGTTGACTCAGGATTTCCATTGCTATCTACTAATGATATTTGCACAAGTAGGCAAAGATAAAGGGTACATCAACAGAAAACTGGGGGAAAAAATGATACATCCATTCACTGCAGTTTTAAGCAACTAGTCAAAAGAATGAGGCTAAGCTAGAGTTATGTCCAAGATAATCTGTCAAGCGAAAAAAAAAAGTTGTAAAATAGGATGTAGACTGCTAGAAATCAAGATAGTTTTGGAATTTTATCATTTCCAAGAAAAATTTTATGGTGTTTGCGTAATTCCTAAATTTCTTTTTTTAAAAGATTTTATTTATTTGAGAGAGAGCGAGCACAAATGGGGAGAAGGGTAGAGGGAGAGGGAGAAGCAGACTCCACACTGAGCAAGGAGCCTGAGGCAGGGCTTGATCCCAGGACTCTGGGATCCTGACCTGAGGGGAAAGTAGAGGCTTAACCTACTGAGCCACCCAGGAGCCCCTAATTCTTAAATTTCTATGTTCTAATTCAGTCTGTCTTTTTAGTCCAGTATATGATACATTTTTAAAAATCCCATTTACAGCAATGCTATTTAGTATGGAAATTAGATTTGTTCAGGTTTGCATATCTTTTTTTCCTCCATGTTCTGTTTCAAATCTGATGTTAAAATAAATGAAAACTTTTGATTTGTGATGTAAACAGTTTTGACTTAACAATTACACCACAATATGACCTATTCTTATTTGGGGAATTTTTTTTCCCCTAAAGAAAGAAATAGGGAAAAAAAATTTTTCCGTAAAGAAAAAAATTCGCCTACTCCAAAACATTACTTATCCCTATATCTAGCACAGTAACTGGCATATTTGTACTTAGTTATATTTGGTGAATGAATGGTTTCCATAAATACAATGTAAACACCTAATGACCTCCTTTGCCAAGTTCTGCACATAGAAATAATGCTAACTATTTCACAAGAAATGAATTAGAGATTTTACTGGAAAATCCGAGTTTTTGGTTTATCTCTGGTATCTTGGACTCTTAATCCAAGGTTCTATCATAAGGCCACTGCCTCCTGGCTGAAGAGTTGTGAAAGATTGCAAAGCTTATAGGACTTACCCATAATGAGAGTTGATGTTTGCAATATCATTAAAATATTTTCAAACCATTATTACTAAACATATGAGTGTGCAGACCACTTTAACGGATAATCGAGCTTCGAAGAGGTATAGGTCAAGAAATTTCCTGTCTAGTAAGTAAGCGAGGACAGGTAAGCCCATAATGAAAAATATGCAAGATTACATGACAAATGTCAGATGTGACTTTACTGCACAGAAGAATGGGACAGAGGGAAGTAGGAGCTATCCCTTCAGGCCCTCACCAACAAGTGGGACTTAAGCCCGACTCCGGGTAGACCTGAGCTGCGTACCCCAGGACACTATTCGGACAAGAGCCTTGAGTCTTCTCCCATTATTCTAAGATTAGTCTGGCCTACCGGGCTCTGCAGACCTACAGAACGCAGGCGCGACGCGAGCTGGCCCCGCCCTGTCCACGCCCCACTCCGGTGCGCCAACGCCATAGGGACGGCCTCAAACCCCACCCCGGCTGTGGGCGGGCACAGGAGGTCCTGCCTCTGCCGACCGGGAGGTCGGCCGCACAGGCGCAGTATCTTCTAGTTGTAGACGCGGCTTCTTGGCGCGGCTTGGTGAGTCCGGACTGCGGTGCCGGGTATCCGCAGTGTCTCGGTCTTCGCTTCCTCTACCCCAGCCCCTTGTGGCAGGACGGGGCTGGAGAGAGACCTGTTACGCGCCCCCGTCTTTCCGATCCCGGGGGGCTCCAGGGGGTCACCGGGGGCCGCGTGAGTGCGGCCAGACTGGGCGCCGGCGGCGGAACTGGGGTTGTTTGGGCGGGAGGGGTCCGCAGGGAGGGACCCGAGTCTCCGCTTTATCTAGAAGCAGGCGCTCTCCCCCCAACCCCACCTCCGACACCCTTCCCGCCTCCCTCCCGCGCTCTCTTCTTACTATACCCATTTTCTCTTGAGAAACTTGGGTTGCTATTGTTAGTGACTGGAGGGTAGTATTAGGAGCCTTGGAGAAGGGCTGCCGGGGTCCAAGTCTCCATCCACCACTTACTAGCTCCGGGACCTCTGCAAGTCACTTAACCTTTGTATGTCTCAGTTTCAAGTGTAAAATGGGGGAAGTAGTAGTAACCTGTCTCATAAGGTGGTTGTGAGAATTATGTGAGGTAATATCTTTTAAGCGCTGAGAGCCGAGCGTGATGCACACACAGCAAAAGTATGTCAGTGCTGTTCATCTTTTTGAGTCTGGTACTAAAAGGAGAGTGTGTCCTTCTCCCTACGCCGAAAATAATTGCCCAAGAGTCCAAGGGTAGGGAAAAAAATTTTTTTTTCTTTTTTGAGACTATGGGCTTTTGTTTGTATGGCATGTTTTTTAAAAAATCAAACATTAATAAACAACTTAGTTGTACATCCTACAGCAGAGAAAAGACAGATGTTAGAGTAATACTGAAGTTGAAAACTGGAAAGCTTTGTTTGGGAAACCACATGAAAAAAAGGGCCAGAACTTATTTATCCTGAAAAGAGTTAACATATCAAGTCTGAGACTGCTATCCTTAGAAAGTTCTGCTTGCAAGGGTACACCTTGTTTGGCATCTGGAAACAGTATAGTTTATGCTGTACACTGTGGTTTATGCTGAAGTTACCAGCCTCCAGGAAAAACCCGGTCCTGTGAGTCTGCAGTGAGCTTCCCTGGGCAGAAACATTGCACAGACATTGCTGGATTTTCCTTATTGGGGGAAAGAGTGTGCTCTCTTTGACCCTGTCTGGCCAGAAGAGAACATAAGGAAGCCTGCTCATGGATTCCTGCAAACTTCACTTTTGTCTTTTTCCATTATGCTCATGTTGTATGTCCATACTACATTGCTGTAATACAAGTTAGCCATGAGTACAACTACATGCTGAATCCTGTGAGACCTTCCAGTGAATCTCCAAGTATGTGGGTGGTCTTGGAACTCCCCAGACAAAATACTGGTGATAGAAACTACTTGAAGCTCCAGTAATTAGATTTTGTCTCTTTTTGCTTAAAAAGGGAAAGAAAAAGAAAGCTATGTAGATAAGTAATTGCTAAATAGTGGGTTACTGTCCAAAATTATTTCTATGTCTAGATATAGTGCATGTGTCAGAAAAATCACTGGAAATTGACTACATTGCCAAGTTAAGTTTGAGTCTCTGTCTTTTACAGACCTTTTATAGATTGTAGGTCAAATACCTGGGGTTTTTTGTTTTTGTTTTTGTTTTGTTTTTAATTCTGCAAGCACTGTCTATGTGTTGATGTCTATTTTTATTAAGAGGTTATCTGTGAAGCTGGGAAAAGGTATGGCCAGTTTCTCTTGGGCCATTTTTCCTGGATTCTTTTAGTTATGCCTGTATTTTCAGGACATCAAATTGAAAGAGTTGGAGGTAAGTCTAACTTTGGGGGTGGAAAGATCAGATTTGCCTTCTGATTATATCTTTTTTCCCTCAGCAAAGTAGAAGACTAGATATTATTTTGGGAAGTAGGGAGATGGAGGAGTTAGAGGTTTAGAAGAGTGAGAAAGGTTTCACATGGCTGTGTGTGTGAGTAGTAGGTAAGTATGTTTTCCAGGAAGTGTAGTAGGTGATGGCAAGTCTTGATCCATTTGAGGTTGAGATTGTGATTATGAATTTAGTGGACCCAGTCTGCTTTCTTACAAGATTTTCTCCAGCCTCTTTGGATACAGACATGCAGAAAGTGGTTAATTGGGTTCATTTAGGTTTGGGGTTTTGTTAGGGAGGTGATGTGGTGGTCGTTAAGGCTCTGCACACATATTTTGTTCTTTCAGTGTACATGGGAAGGTTGCACTCTTTTGTACACACCCCACATCCCACTCCCTTACCCCCATGTCTACTTGAGGTTAAATGTGTCATATGACTTGCTTGGGCTGGTAAAATATGAGCAGACGTGACAGACATCATTTCCAAGTGAAGCTTTAAGAACCAGCACTCCATTTGCTACTTCCACATCTCCCTGCCTTGCTATAAGTGATCATGGAAGCACTTGGTGAGATGGCAGCCTTTTGCCAGCCTGGGCACTAAAGGTGAATAGGAGTGGCTGTAGAGGCAAAGCTGGAAGAACTCGAATTTGTGATTAGGGAACAGAATACTTGAATTAGTGATTTTGCAAGGTAGAACTGTAGGGTAAGTGGGTGAGGAAGTTTGGAGGGAAAAGGCAGTCAGAAATGAAGTGGTCAAGGAACTCAGAGGCCTCGTGCATCTCTAACCCTGAAGGCCATAATTTGTTGCCGCTCTGTTCAAGAGTGATGACCCCTGGAGTTAAAAGAAATGGCTCATAAAATGGTAAATTAAAAAGCTTCCATATGTGGAATATGGTATAACTGAATCAAGATTCAGAATTTATTTATTTATTCATTTTTAAAGATTTATTTATTTTAGAGAGAGAAAGCATGTACATGAGCACGGGGAGGGGCAGAGGAAGAGGGAGAGAATCTCAAACAGACTTCCTGCTGAGCGTAGAGCCTAATACCGGGCTGGGTCCCATGACCCTGAGATCATGACCTCAGCCAAAATCAAGAATCGGCCACTTAATCAACTGAGCCACCTAGGTGCCCCAAGATTCAGAATTTATTATTGAGTTGAAAGATTTCCACTTTGATCAATAAAAGCAAATAAACAAATAGCCATGAAAATTTCAGTGTAAGCTTAATTTTTTATCTAAAATCTTAACAATTAACTTTGGGTTTTTTAAAAATATAAAGGACAGAGGTAAGTAACACCTTGAAGAAAGAGACAAATTAAGTGTAGGACATTATACAATGTTGCTCTTGAAAGTGTGGTCTGTGGGAGCACCTGGGTGGCTCAGTTGGTTGAGTGTCCAACTCTTGGTTTTGTCTTGGGTCATGATCTCAGAGTCCTGAGATCGAGCCACCTGTTGGACTCCACACTCTTCGGGATTCTGCTTGAGATTCTCTCCCTCTCCCTCTACTTCTCCTCCTGCTTGTGTCTACTCTCTCTCTAAAATAAATAAATCTAAATCTTAAAAAACAAAACAAAACAAAACAAAAAAAACACGTGGTCTATGGACTCACAGCAGTGGCTTTCCAGTGGGAGCTTGGTAGACAGGCAGAACCTCAGGTCCTGTGCCAGACTTGCTGAATCAAAATCCACATTTTAACAAGATCTTTAAGGTGACTCAAATGTACTGTCCTGATCTTTTTTAAAAAGCCAGTGTCTTGGGGCGCCTGGGTGGCTCAGTCATTAAGCATCTGCCTTCGGCTCAGGTCATGATCCCAGGGTTCTGGGATCGAGCCCCACATCGGGCTCCCTGCTCAGTGGGAGGCCTGCTTCACCCTCTCCCTCTCCTCCTGCTTGTGTTCCTTCTCTCGCTATCTCTCTCTCTGTCAAATAAATAAATAAAATCTTTAAGAAAAAAAAAAAAGCCAGTGTCTTAGGAAAGTATAAGATGGGAAGAACAGTTTCTGGATTAAAAGATGCTAACAATTAGCATGACATAACCAATACAAAGTGCAAACCTTGATTGAGTCTTGATTTTTAAAAAAACAGTATGGAAGATAATTTTGGGTCAGCTGAAGAGGCTAGAATATGATGGAATATCAGAATAGGGAATTATTGTTAATTTTCTTAGATGTGATAATGATGTGATTATTCTTAAAAAAGATACATGCTTTTTGCAACTTTGAAATAGTTCAGCAAAAACAAATATACTCACATACATGTATATATGTCTGTACACACTGATATTTAGATAAAACAAATAGGGCAAAATGTTCTAGATGTGGAATCTAGGTAGTAAGTATATGGGTGTTTATTATATTATTCTTTTAACTTTTGTGGAAGTTTACATTTTTTCGTAATAAAAAAGTGGAGAAAAACCCCAGAAAAAATGCAGTAGCTTAATACAGTTTCTTTCTTTATTAGTTGTTCAGTGCTAGGTCATACCGTGCAGGTAGGCTGGCTCTGCTGTGCTGGGCACATGGCTTCCATCCCTGGTCCATTGTGGCTTTTCCAGCTTCTACTGTTTCCTAGCTAGTGGGTCGGGAGAAAGGGCAAGGGGAGCACATGACCTGGAAGCAGCACTTATTCCCTTGATCAAACCTTTCGTTTTTTCATCCACCTGGACATCATGTATCTAGGGAGTAGTTGGTAAAAGTCAAATGTAGTGTACATTTGTATATTGGTTTAACCAAGATTTCTTTGGTTTCACCTGATGTTTTCTTCTTCTTTTGATGTACTAGGGTCCAACTAAAATGGAAGTCATTTCTGTTTTTTTTTTAAAGATTTTATTTATTTATTTGACAGAGAGAGACACAGCGAGAGAGGGAACACAAGCAGGGGGAGTGGGAGAGGGAGAAGCAGGTCTCCCGCTGAGCAGGGAGCCCGATGCGGGACTCAATCCCAGGACACTGGGATCATGACCTGAGCTGAAGGCAGACACTTAACAACTGAGGCACTCAGGCGCCCCAAAGTCATTTCTGTTTTAATATACATTAAGTAGAATACCTAAAATTTTAATTTTGAGGATTAAAGTGTATTCATTTTCCCCTACCCCCAACCTTTTCAGTAAATAACAGATGCGGGTGAAAGAACCTTCCCAAGCTTTGCCTGAGAAAGCCAAAAGGAGTAAAAGACCTGCTATACCTCGTGATGAGGACTCTTCAGACGACATTGCTGGTAAAGTGTGGTATCTGGCGTCCTGAGTGGTGTTGTGGAAAATAACCATATATGTTTTTAATCAATAAATCCTTTGCTCTTTATTTTTACTATTTTCTGCATGAACTTTAAAATTAGCTTGTCTAGTTCCAAAACATCCTGTTGATGTTTTTATTGAGATTTTGTTTAGTTTATAAAGTAACTTAGAATTGGCATCTTTTTGTTGTTTTCCATTTCTCATGACCTGTTAAAGCCAGGCCTTTAAGCCTGGAAGATGACTGGGGAGCTGCTGGCCCCGGGCTGGCTTTTCTCTTGAATTTCATGCCTTCTGTTTCAGCTTTTCTGAGGATTTTCCTCCTTTCTCACCAGTTCAGTTCTCCATTTAAAAAGTTTTTAATTTTTATTTCCATTTTCGAGTGTTTTTAACTTGGATAGTGTTTCAGGATAGTTAGATTGTTATATTGAAGGAAGTCTGAATTATATCTTTAAACATTTGTTTTATTCTGTGAAATTATTTTTTTCAGGGATTCTGATGATTCTTTTGTTAGCTCTTCCTTGCCTGTCTTCTAGTTATTTTTTCTCAAATTGTCTACAACTCCTACTTCCTTTTCATTTTGCTTGCTCTTTTCCTTTTTATCTTTTACAGTGTTTTCTGCAGTGTCTTTTTCACCGTATGCCCTTTTTAGTTTTGTCATCCTTTTTGTGGTTTTTATTTTTTTCCTCCATTTCTTTCCTGAGCTCTGCCAGTCACTTTCTACTGTTTTGCCACCTCATGCTGGAGCATTTGCTTCTGTTTTGTATTTGTATTTCATGGCAGTGATTTCTGTGCCTTTTGTTTTTCCTTTTTCTTATATTGGATAGAATTTATGGCTTTGATTTTTCTTTGATTTCTCATTCTTTAATGTAGGGTTACCTTTCTTGGATCAGTTAGTTTTAGAATATTTTTGTAAGAAGGAGGGCCAGAGCACTGTCAAGACCAGCTGGAGTTTTGAGTGTGAGCTCAGTTAGCCTTTACTTCTTTCCACTCAACAAGATTAGGCAGCCCTGGTGTTTTTTCAGAACCCGAAGGATCTTTTCTCGCTGCCTTAGAGACAAGACTGTTTTTGGCAAATTTGGCTTGTTTGTTTCTCACTTAGTGAATTAGAAATTGCCTTCTTTTGCTTCTTTTTTTTTCAATATATTTTTTTCTATTTATTTATTTATTTGATGTAGTGTTCCATGATTCATTGTTTGTGTATAACACCCGGTGCTCTATTCAATACGTGCCCTCTTTAATACCCATCCCCAGGCTAACCCATCCCCCCACCCCCCTCCCCTCCAGAACCCTCAGTTTGTTTCTCAGAGTCCATTGTCCCTTGTGGTTCATCTCCCCCTCCGATTTCCTCCCCTCATTTTTCCCTTCCTACTATCTTTTTTTTTTTTTTTAACATATAATGTATTATTTGTTTCAGAGGCACAGGTCTGTGATTCATCAGTCTTACACAATTCACAGCGCTCACCATAGCACATACCCTCCCCAGTGTCTATCACCCAGCCACCCCCTCCCTTCCATCCCCCACCACTCAGCAACCCTCAGTTTGTTTCCTGAGTAAGAATTCCTCATATCAGTGAGATCATATGATACATGTCTTTCTCTGATTGACTTATTTCGCTTAGCATAATACTCTCTAATTCCATTTTAGTCTTCCACCTTCTTTTGCTTCTTAAAACAAAACTGGATATAGGGTAGCTCCTGCCAGGGTTGTTGCAGCACAGAGATTTAGGTTTCATTCTGTGTCTGCAAAGTAAGCGGGGTTCTCTATGGGATCTACAGCTGCAGTATGCTCTCTGCTTCCTTCTGTATGCACCCCTATTTGATCCCTGCTGCGTTGAGGTGGGACTCTTCCACTGAATTTATGACTTGGGGCTTCAGTTGTCTCTTGGTTTTCCTGAAAATGAACTTGGTGTTTTTGTATTCTATTCTTGTTGACATTGGACAGTTTCTGAGAGGAGAATGGGGAAGTGTTGATTTTAGACCATCATTTGCAAACTGGAAGACCTCCTTGTAAAGTTTTTTAATATTTAAAGTGAAAAATGTGGAGACTTTAATTATTGTTTTGATTTGTTAATGTGAAACAACTATAGACTTTAATACATTTATATATTTTATTCAGGAATCCCTAGAGGACTTATTTGGCAGATGAAATTTAGACAATTGTATGATCAAACAAATTACAGAAAACTGAGGAAATCTTATTAGCACAGCCCACCACCAAGGATTGTGAATACTATTTAAACACTGGTTAACTCTTGTAAGAAAACATCAAACTTTCAAATTTACTTATAAAAAGTATATATTGTTGAGGCATTTAAAAGCTAGTAGAGTTAATTTAGACTCTTGGGACCTTTTTATCATGAATTCACTTATCTCTGAATTCATTAACAATTTCAGTTTTATATGTCTGAATTGTAGAATCAGAGAAGAGCTAAGTTATACCCTGGCCAAATCCTACCCCAGAGATGATATAGAAGGTGTATGGAATGATTTTTCCCCTTAGAATTTTAAAATATAAAAACTCAAAGCATTGATATCTAGTAACCCATTTCTAGGTCCTGTATCTATGTGGTCATCTATCAGTCTTCCCCAGAACACCCCTTTATTTAATGGCATGTGTCCTTGCTTTTCAAATATAGGGCTTTGGAATTACTCCTTTTGTGTCTATTTTTATACCTTGCTCTTGGTGTAAGATTAGAAGTCTTAATCTTTCCCCAGATTTACACATTATTTTTATTGAAATTATATTTTACAATAAGTCACTTGTCAAGACTCACATACTTAGGCTTCAGGATGAAAAGGAACTAATGCTTAGCCTCTCTCTAGTTAACTAATAGGTGAAAAGGAGTGCTGTGCATTTGGGAAGGGAAGTGGAGAAAGTCAAAATGTCCATACTCCTGTTTCCCTCTTCAAGTTACTCAGTCTTTCCTTTGCTGTTTAATTTTGGTGGATAGTTGTAGTTTTGGTGTTTGAGATAGATGAGGTGCAGAAGTGGAAGTGTTAGGTATTTGGCAGAAGTGGAAGTGTCATTGTGTCCTTGGGAGAAGAACACAGTTATCTGAATAAAAACATACTAGCCAATTTTGGCCAGTTGTCTCCACACAGTATACCCAGTGGGACTCTGTTATAAAGGATAATTAAGGACCACGCAGCGTCATTTGTTATTTGGAAATACTCGTTAAGGAGAATTCTTGTTCCTGTAAATTATGCCATATTGTTTGTTCCTCTTTCTCCTTTCTCTCAGTAATGATGAAAATAGCATCAGAGCAGAGGTAGGCTCTCTGGAAAGATTTTGTGTGTGTATCTTAATGAGAAGAAAATATATTCAAAATGCTTGACACAGTAGCTGCTCAGTAAATAATCTATTTATTAAACTTTTTATTTTTGAACTAATTTTGAATAGGAAGGTTCAAAGAGATACACAAGGGGGTCCCATTCACTCTTCACCCAACCTCTCCTGATTTCACATCTTGTATTTCTATAGTACAATATCAAAACCAGGAAAATGATATCAGTACAATCCTAGAGCTTATTCTGATTTCACCAGATATGCAAGGCCTCATGTGTGGGTGTCTGTGTGAGTGGGTATAACTCTGTGCACTTTTATTACATGTGTAGTTTTGTATATCCACCACAACTGAGATACCCGTCTGTCCCATCACCACCCCAATGGTTACCTGTTTATAGCCACACTCCCTGTTCTCCATCCATAGTCCCTGGCAGCCACAAATCTGTTCTCCAACTCTCTAATTATGTTATTTCACGAATGCTTTATAAATGGAACCATGCAGTATGTATCCTTTTGAGTTGTTTTGTTTTCCAAATCTCTTTGCTTTTTAGTTACAGTATTTTAATGCTATTGACTTTGGCTTACTGATGGTAGCACTTTGGCTTAGCAAAGAAAATATTCACATTTTGTTTTGTCTTATTCAGTAGGTTTCACTTGCCAGCATGTAAGTCATGCTATTAGTGTGAATCATGTGAAGAAAGCAATAGCTGAGAATGTGTGGTCAGTTTGCTCAGACTGTTTAAAGGAAAGAAGATTCTGTGATGGGCAGCCAGTACTTCCCTCTGACATATGGTTGTGCCTCAAGTGTGGTTTTCAGGTGAGAAGCGTGATTTTTATATGTGAGTTTGTCTTAAATATTTTTCTTAAATGCGTATTGTGAGTTGGACTGTTGGTAATGTTTAGAATTTAAAATAAATTTATTCATGTTTAGATAGAAGTCTCCAAGGCTCAACTTAGAAACATTAGTTAAGGTAAAATAAAAGGTATATTATATTCAGAAAGTAACCACATGTAGTTTAGAAATACTTTGAAAGGGAATCCAACCTACTTGCAGTAGTTCTCACGTCTGGACCTGCCTTTACCTATTTGTATTTCCTTAAGAAATGGATCCAAGTTTTTTTACATCTTACTAGATTAATTTTTTTTCTATGAAAGGATTCTTTTTTTTTAAACAATTTTTAACAGCTTAGAAGCTATTAATATCTGTAATATTTTTTGAAAAACATTTAAGATGTCTACAATTTTTCTAAAATAAGAGGAATCCTTATTATCTCACATAGCTCGTAAGTAGGACCACATCAGGATTAGTTAATTCAATGAAAAGAACATTGAAAACTGAGCTTTCTTCCATTTTTCTTTTGTCCACCCTCAATTTCATGGCTTTTTATGGCTGAAAATATTTCATGCATTATATATCATACAGCCATCCCCAGAGGCCAGAAAGAGGGCAAAAAGGACATCCCTCTCCTGTTTTTGTTTTAATTTTTAAATATATGAAACTTTTCCCAGAAACATCTAGGAGACTGCCCCTCATGTCGCATTGACCAGAACTGGATCTTATTTCTTTACTTACCTGGTGAGGGAAATTACTGTGATTGGTCTGAGTCTCATTAGTTGCCAGTGGGTTTGGGTGGAGGTATGGACAATTTTAGAAAATGTGTGCATAGGAGGAGGGCACTGGTCTGCGAAGATGCTCAGTGCTCCACAGTGTGCAAGGCAGAGAGTGTATACATTTTTAAATAATAGGGAAATGAACTCAGCTCATGATTGTTTTAGGCAAATACTATATAACAAAAAGCAAGTTAGCCTCTTTGCAAGAAATTAAATTTAATGAGAATCTATACTATTTTCTGAAACTTTTCCCTCCTGTTTGAAATTAAAAACCAAAACTTTTTTAATATGAGTATGATTTAAGTTTTGATTAATTTGAAACAAATTTACATGTAAATTGTACAAATAGCATTCTGTTCATCTTTAGGGATGTGGTAGAAACTCAGAAAGCCATCATTCACTGAAGCACTACAAGAGTTTGAGAACAGAATCTCATTGTGTTACAATTAGTCTGAGCACATGGATTATATGGTAAGTTAGATTTTATTACCACTTGTGTCCACTACAAAAATATCATTTTCTTTGAGCTGTACAAGGTAAGATATTTAAAGATGTTATACCCCCTTATGCATTTTAGCCTGAACACAACCTGTGGAATACTTTAAGAAAAGTGACATTACCCATGAATATAAAATTTAAATAAGGAAAAATTTAGTCATCCCTCTACTTTTTTTTTTTAAACACTTTCTAAATAGGATAAAGAAACATTCTTCCTAGTTGATTTTTCATAATGAACTTGCTAATGCAGAATTCCAGAGTTCTAGAGAAGGAAGGTACTTCAAGCAGTCAGGTGGTTTGGTGATTCCCTGGAGGGGAAAGGGTAAGCCTGGGCATATGCAGTTTGTCAAAACTGCTGGGGTGATTCTACTACTTAATCCTGGCTGGGAACCAAGTCCAGTTCCCTCATTTTACATATAAAGACACTGGTTACAATTTTCTAAAATTTTCAAAAGCTTTCAAGTTTTCCTTGAATGAATTTTCAGAGGTTTTCAAGTTTTCTTTAAGACAAAAATATTTTAACTTTGTGTTTTCACTTCCGGGATCTAAAATTAATATAACAATATTTTGACTTATAGAAGAGATCATCATCTTATAATTTAAATTTGTAGCACGGGTCAGGTCTTGCTGCATTTGTGTTTTTGTTGTTCCCAAGTAATAATATTGGGGAGAATGAGGAGAGCATAGAGACAGCTTACTATGTAAATGATACATTGGGAGAGGGAGCTAAGGGAGAGGGGGTTGATGCCATAGTGTGGCAGCCCAATAAATATTTCTCTGTAGCCTGAATAGAGCAGTGGTCTCAAACAATGGGGCCCATCACAATCACCAGGAAGTCTTGTTAAAATAGACCGCTGGGCCTTGGCCTAGAGATTCTGATTTAGTAGTTCTTGGGTAGGGCCTAAGAATTTGCATTTCTAACAAGTTCCTAGGTATTGCCAATGCTGTTGGTCTGGGGACCACAGTTTGAGGACCACAGTAATAGAAGAAGGTGGAGGGAGAGTTGAGTGGCACCTGGTAGAATAGACCCGTTTCAAGTGAGTCTGCGTCAGAACTTCTGTTGTAGCTTTTAGGACCATAATTATGGTGTGAATCATGATGTAATTTCAGCAAAGAAAAAAAAAACACAAAAACCAAAAAAAGTTACCTAGCATAATAGTGTTGTTAGTTTTAACTTTATTGATTTTATAATTTTATGTTTATGCTTAATTGTATAATTGTGCTTTCATAGATATATAGAGCTATAAGGATGATCAATTTATTGATCATTTTGTCTGTAGAATGTTAAATTTATATTATAATGAAAATAATTTAAGTCATATTTGGGGGTCTGTAAAATTTTTTCCTTTCTAAGGAAGAAATTTCAAGCTGGTCACATGCATTTACAGAAACTTAAAAGGTTGGGACTATTTTCTTTTTCACATCTAATTCCTAAACCTTAAAAAGTTTAACAATTTCTGGGGCACCTGAGTGGCTCAGTTACTTAAGCATCTGCCTTCAGCTCAGGTCATGACCTCAGGGTCCTGGGTCCTGGGTTCTGGGATTGAGTCCTGCATCAGGCTCCCCGCTGCCTGAGGACTCTGCTTTTCTCTCTCCCTCTGCCCCCCTCCCCACACTTGAGTGTGCACTCATTCTTTCTCCCTCAAAAAAATAAAATCTTTAAAAAACGAGTTTAACAACTTCAGTAGAAAACTTTACTAATTTGGGTTAAAGAAAGGCCAACTTGAACTGGAAAAAAACCTTGAAAACCCTAAAAAAGAAAGGAATATGGTAGATTTGATAAAATTATGGCTAACAAAGTGTTGCTTGATAGTGGATTTAATGCTGCTTTAACAGATAATATTTATTAGCTCCGTGGTTTCTTATCTCTGACTTTCTTCAGAATCACAGAGGTGAAATTTGAAAAATCCATAGGTACCATTCATTGGTCCTCTGTTAGATCAGGGCTTTTGTATTGTTAAGTTCCACACTGATCCTTATGCTTGACCAGAGGCACTGATTTAGCACTTACAGTTAACATATAGATGAGTGCTTTTGTTTATCTTTTTACTTTTTCAGGTGAGTGCTTTTAAAGTACTCAAAAGTTTGTTGAAAGATGTGGTATTTACCCTGTATTTTTAATACCTTACTGATTTGTGAGCCCTCCTATGTCCCAGTTTCTCATCTGTAAAAAGGAAGTATTATACTTCTAGAGAGCTATTTATTTTTAAAAATTATAATACTGTTTTGGTTGTTGTGAGGAATTAAACTAGAAAATGCATGTAAAGTATTTATAACAGTGCCTGCCACAAGTAGATGCTCAATTAAATTTTTTTTGGTTATTTTTTTTAAGTGTATGTATTTATTTATTCATTTGAGACAGAGAGATACAGAGAGAGCATGAGCAGGGGGAGGTTCAGAGGGAGAGGGAGAAGCAGACTCTCGGCTGAGCAAGGAGCCAGATGTGGGACTCGATCCCAGGACCCTGGGATCATGACCTGAGCCGAAGGCAGAGGCTTAACCATCTGAGCTACCCAGGCGCCCCTTTTTTGGTTATTTCTAATGGAAACAAGTAGAATTAATTTATGTTGAGCTGTCCTCTCTTCTCCAAATTCACTGCCATTGTGTGGTTTTTATTCACATTTTCTTTTTGTACTCTTAAAGTTACAATACATTTTATAGCAAGTAAAAATTAAATTGCAGCATCGGTAAAAATTTCTTGACATTTCAATATTTTGCAAATGAGCAATTTTTATTATTTTTGGCAATAGTTACATCAGTAAATTTTGAGGGTTTATAATGGTGTAAACCTGGTAATTCTACATTGTTTGAATTCCATCATGGTCTATTATAAAAGATGTTTTGGGAATGTTTTCTGTGACTTGTTTCCTTCACAGATTTATCTATGTATCTATGTATTTCTGTATGCAAGTGATAGAGTAATATTTGTATTTTGAGTATGAGTAAATATTTGACTGAATTTTCAGTGCCATTTAGAAAAAGAACCCAAACACAGTTTATAGCCATTAATCTTAGGACCCCTATTGATTATAAGAAGATTGTGAATATGTAAGGTGGTATTGGTATAACACATTATACTTCTCAATATGTTCAAATATATGTTTTTATTTGACCATTGGATCTTATGAAGTTAAAGGAAGCAGGTAATGATAATACATAGAAGAAATCTTTATTAATACTATATGCACTAATGAGTAAACTTAGTGGAAGCTAATTTTCTAAAACGTAATGTGCTTTGAAAATCTCTTTGGGAGCTCTCTCTCTTCCCAACTAAGTCCCAAATAAAACAAAACACTTACCCAATCTTCCCCGTCTCTATAAGTGGCACCTCCATCACTTAAGTATTCAGGCCAGAAACCTAACACTTTCTTTCCTTTTTTATCTTAATTTTTAATCCTTTAACAAAAGTGGATAAAATGGTATAACGAAATCCTCCGTACCCATCACCCAACTTTAAACATTCCCAACTTGCAGCAAGTCTTTCCTCTAGACCAGAATTTCTCAGTCTCAGTACTGTTGTCATTTGAGTTGATAATTCTTTGTTGCAAAATTGCTCCTATTTGAGAATCACTGACTTACCCTCATCCACTTCCCTCTTTCCATGGCAGTTATTTTTATACTTCTCTGTTTCTACCTGAATTTTCTGTAAAATAAATCTGTTCATTTTTCTCCAGATCTCCTGCTTCTACCCTGACCTTCTATTCCTGATTCCCTCTATCTGACATTAGTCCGAGTAATGTTTTTAAATATAGATTGGATCACATCACTCCCCTCCTTAAAAAACTCCTCATGGCTTTCCATTACACTTAGGGTAAAGTACCAGGACTTTAATTTGAATGATAAGGCTCTGTATGAACTGTCTCCTGCTTATTTCTCTAGACTTATCTAATGCCTCACTCTACATGTATACTTTTTGCCCCCCCCCCCCCCCCCCCCATTTAAAGACAAGACTGGATAAATATCAACTTTATTACTTTATTACCTGGTGTGCAATATTATTGAAGGTGCTTTCATAATATCTGTTTACATATTTGTATTTTTCAGGTGTTATGAATGTGATGAAAAATTATCAACACAGTGTAATAAGAGGGTTTTGGCCCAAACAGTTGATTTTCTCCAGAAGCATGTTTCTAAAACACAAACAAGTAAGTTAAGCAGTTGCCAAAGAAATTTGTATTAACGTATGATATTTTATATTTCATATAGAGAGTTTGTAAATTCATAAATAATACCTTAGATTTTACTGAGACCTTTCTGCACAAGTGCCATGCATTCTTAGGTAGTAATCTTGTGATGTTATCTTGGGTTGTATTTACGTAACTAATATGAGAAGCTAGAGAGGGTAGTGACTAGATCATGGGCTTCTGAGTCAAACAGTGCTGAGTTTGAATTCAGGCTCCACTCAAATTACTTATTGTCTGTGTGTCTTTTACTTCTTAGTTTACTTACTTTAAAAATTAGGATGATCATTCCAATGTGTGGGGTTATTGTGAGGCTTAGAGATAATGTGTTCTAAAAATTTAGAAATAATGTATGTAAAAATGCTTGCATGGTGCCTGACACGTATTTATGAAGTGGCATCTATTCTTTGTTAGGTAATCATAGTGCAGTTCTGACTCTAACCACCCAGAGTTAGGCTAACCTTACAGATTAAGGGCGTGCTTAGTCTTACACAAGATTGCCCTCACTTCAGACATCATCCTCAGGGTCCCGCATTTTCAGCCCATCCACATTTCTGACAAACTGGCTATAAATTTAGGAGTTCCCACTACCCTTCTTAGGTTCAGTAATTTGCTAGAATGACTCAGAGAACTCAGGAAAGTCCTATAGTTAAAATTATAGTTTTACTATAACAGAAAAAAGATACAAATCAGGACCAGCCAAAAGAATAGACACATTGGGCAAGGACTAGAAAAGTCCCAAACATGAAACTCCTGTATCTTCTTCTTGTGGGGTCAGGATACATCACCTTCCTGGCACGTTGATGTTTATCATACACACAGAGTATTGTTAACCAGGAAAGCTATCTGGAGCTGTGGTGTCCAGAGTTTTTAATTGGCATTTTATTGAATAGGCACCAGTGCTTGACTCATTGGCCACGTGATTGAACTCAGTCTCCGGTACCTCAGCCCTCTAATCACACATTGGTCTTTCTGGCATGGCTAGCTGCCATCCTGAGTAATCTTATTAGCATAAACTGTCTAGGGGCCCATCAAGAATAAGAAAGACGCTCCTGACCCTCTGGAAATCCCAGGATTTAGGGGTTACTTCTCAGGAACCTGGTACAACAGGCGGCCAAATCCTTTATGATTCAATAGTAATGTATTATATATTATTTACTTCATTAACTATGTATGTTGTTGTCTAACATACAAACAATATATATAATACATGTTGATCTAAATGAAGAGTATATAGGGAAGCAGAAATATTAAGTGCCTACCACATGCTGGGTTTTATACTTTATTCAAAATTAGTGATAAAACAAAAGAACAGTTTTATATTGCCCTCTTGGGCTATACAGTAGAGTTGGAGAGACAGACAAAAAAAAAATTTATATGTAAACTTCTGATAAGTGCAAAGGAAAAGAAGAGATTGCAGGTATAGGTAATAATCTAGTGGTCACAGTGATCAAAAAAGGCCAGTATAGCTGGAGTGTGGTTTGCTGGGAGAGAGAATGAAATGAGGAAGTGAGTGGGGGGAAAAAAAATGAGTTTGGGAGTTCATGAAGGATACTGTAAGGAATTCCATGGTAAAGAATTTTTATTTTGTTGGAAGTGTAATGGAAGCTATTAAAGTGTTTTAAGCAGGGGAGTAACGTCATTTCATCTTTTTAAAATAACATTATTCTAATTGCTGTATGGACGGTTGGAGTTAAGAGTTGAGGTGAGGAGATCATTAAGAAGGTCAGAGGACGTTGTTGTGGTAGAGCAGGTGAGAGACTAGTAGACGCACTGGTGGAAAGTGGGTGGCTTAGATGTAGTGAGTGAGGGAGAGTGGGAAGAATCCATACTCACCTTGGGGTTTGGTACTAGGTGAAAGGGTGAATGGACATGATAATTTTGAAATGCCTTTGGTGCAGAATTGAACTGCAGGTGGCATTCAGAAACTGAAAAATTACATTAAAATATACTAGTCGTCAGCTATATTTTCTATAACCCAATATACAAGTGTTTCTGTTAGCTATTGCTCGAGACAATGATAGTGAACAAATTGGCAAAGGAACTGGAGGAGGTTAACACAGATTCCAGACAGAAGAAATGATTAATTTTTTTCACTCATTTATTTATTCAACAAACGTATTGAAATCTTACTCTGTCCCAAGCATACTAGTCATAGCTCCAGTTCTGCTCAAATAAAGAACCAGAAAAATACGGTGATGATAGACATTGAACACTTCAGGAACAGCTGTTGGTCTTAATGCTGCCTCCTGAAAACTGCACTTTTTTTTTAAAGATTTATTTATTTATTAGTTTGTTTATTTGAGAGAGAGAGAAAGAGAGAGTGAGAAACAGCGTGAGAGGGGAGAGGGGAGAAGGTCCGAGGGAGAAGCAGGCTCCCCGCCGAGCAGGGAGCCCGATTCGGGGCTCGATCCCAGGACCCTGGGATCATGACCTGAGCTGAAGGCAGTCGCTTAACCAACTGAGTCCTAGGTGCCCCTGAAAACTGCACATTTAATGTGCTTTTTTGGCCACGATAAGATATGTAGGGGTATGATGCCAGGGGTGGCCAAAGTACAATTATAGGAAGTATTTTATCTGGATTTTTTTTTTCCATCTTAGAGGTTCCTTGAGGTTAAGGATAAAGCCAGTCTGGTTTCATTCCATTTTTACAGATTTCTTCAACTTATTATCATAAAGGATATAAGGTAGGGAGCATGGAATGATATGGTAGAAAGACCATGGACTTTGTCACGGTGTGGGGTCGGGCATTCAAATTTGACTCTTTCAATCACTGGCTATTTGACCTGGGGCAGGTTACAGTTCATCTGACCCTCATTTTCCTCAGCAGTTCCTCCCTCTTTTCTGTGGTATTTCAGGGAGTAGAGATTGGTAAGACAGTTCCTATCCTAAAGAATAATGATAAGCAGAATAGAGTTGTATTCTGAGTGATGTTCAAAGTCCTTTAGATACTCAAAAAGGGGGGCGCCTGGGTGGCTCAGTCGTTAAGCTTCTGCCTTCGGCTCAGGTCATGGTCCCGGGGTCCTGGGATCGAGCCACGCATCGGGCTCCCTGCTCAGCGGGAGGCCTGCTTCTCCCTCCCCCCTCCCCCTGCTTGTGTTCCCGCTCTCACTGTGTCTCTCTCTGTCAAATAAATAAATAAAATTAAAAAAAAAAATAGATACTCAAAAAGGTTATAATGGTCGATTGAAAAGAACCTGAGAAAGAATCGTGAATGAGTTGGCTTTCAAGCTGACCCTTAAACAGAGGATTTTGGGTAGGTAGAGATGGGAAAAGCAATGATTTCAGGTCGTGGGAAGCACCGGTGTAAGCCTTAGGTGTGTTTCTGGAACCATGGGTAGCACCTGGGTAAGTGGGAAACAGCTTCTTGAGGGAGTCTGAGTGTGTGTCGCGCCATCAGAGGCGGGGAGAGACGTAGCTCTGGGTTCAAGGGTTGCAGAAGTTCCAGGCCCAAATGTCGTTATCCTTGTGTTCCAAGCTACAGCATCTCTCAGGCAAGTTTGACTTAAAATAAGATCCGTTGGCATTCTAGAAGTAAGTTTTTTTGGGATAGTAATCTGCAATATTCTTCCTTGCATGAGGCTTTATTTTTATAAAATACGTTAAAAATCAGGTATGAAAGTAGCTATTGAGGTTTGTAGGAATGCTGGATTATGATTATGCAGCTATCAAATGATAATTGTGAAGGCTGTAGAAATATAAAAATGTCTGAATATGGCAATTCAAAAAGAATATGGAACTATATTGTGTTTTAGGTGGGAGGATAAGAATGGTTTTAAAGGATTCTTTTTATATTTTGCTCTAAGAAAACTGCTGAGAAAAGCCTGTACCTGTACCTTACACATGTTGTTAAGTTATGCAGAGCCTGAGCACTTTCATGTCCAATACATCTAATTTAGCTACTCTGCACAGAGAATCTTGGCCAGTGCCCCATCCATTTGTAAATACCACCAGCTCAGTGAATCTCAGCTTTTGGTCTCAGTAGCCCTTTAGATTCTTAAAAAAATTAGGATGTGTAAAGAATTTTGCTTAGGTAGGTTATATCTATCAATATTTATCATGTTAGAAATTAAAATAAAGGGCACCTGGGTGGCTCAGTTGCTTGGGCGACTGCCCTCGGCTCAGGTCATGATCCCGGAGTTCCAGGATCAAGTCCCGCATCGGGCTCCCTGCTCGGCAGGGAGTCTGCTTCTCCCTCTGACCCTCCCCCCTCTCGTGTGCTCTCTCTCTCTCTCTCTCATTCTCACTCTCTCAAATAAATAAATAAAATCTTTAAAAAAATTAAAATAAAAAATTACAATATTAAATCACTGAAAAATAGCAATAATTTCCATGACATGTTAACACACATAATGTTTTTAGGAAAGATAACAATTTTGTAAAACAACACAAACTTAATAAGTGGCATTGTTTTACATTTTTATAAATCTCTTTAGTGTCTAACTTAATAAAAACAATAATTGTATTCTATCTACTTCTGTATTCATCTGTGATATGGTATATAGTCTCTGGAAAATGCATTATATAACTGAGAATGAAAGTAAAAAAAAAAAAGCAAATAATATCCTAGGCTTACTATGAAAATACGTTTGACCCTAAGGACCTTGGTGTATAGTCTCTGGAAAATGCATTATATAACTGAGAATGAAAGTAAAAAAAAAAAGCAAATAATATCCTAGGCTTACTATGAAAATACGTTTGACCCTAAGGACCTGGGAAAAGGAGGAGGGTGTCTTCAGATCCACTTTTAGAACTGCTGAACTAGCACATTTCTGTATTTTCTGTCTTCAACCTTATTTGCCCTAAGCACATCCTATTTCAAGGACACTTTCCCAGTCTTTTACCTTATCTTTTCTACTTCTGTGCAGCATACCTTAGAATCTAAGAACACATTGTTTTGTGGTGTTTGGTTTTCCTGTATATATGTGTCTTTTTAAAAATATTTTTTAAATTTAAATTCAATT